CCGCGCGCGACTCCGCGACCCCGGACCGCACCGGCGCGGGGCTGGGACTCTGTGCCCTCTGGGCCGCCACTTCCTGCTTGAAATAAACAGCAACATTATTTTTTTCTTAAATGAAAAGAAAACCAACTTACATTTATTGAGGATCCGGAGACATACAAAAGACTAAAACTTAACCTTTCACTCCAACACCTGGAAGGTGCCCGGGAAACATTTTGATCCATTTCCTTCCAGTCTTTTCTCTACGCGCCGACAGCTTTCATTTTCAAAAATTATAGTATAAAACTGGCATCAGACTTAATCGACTGCCTGTCTGGCGTCTCTCACTGTTTTACCTGGCATCAAGTGATGAGAATGGTGCCATATTGGTGCCTTTGATTGCCAACATGATTTTTAATGGTTGTATAATGTTCCAATGTAGAGATAACTTAGACTCGCTGTCAAATGACGCGACTCCTGTTTTTACACTTTGTGCTGTTTTTATATGCATTATTGCAATGTTAAGTTTTTTTTGGCTGGTCTTTCAGATTGCATTTTGGAAGATCTAGTAATCCCACAATCTAAAAACATTTGCTAACCTATCCGAGGGTCACTTATGGATTTCCCTGCATGTACCCTTAAATGGGAGGTGTCTGCTCCTGCAGAAATGCCATGTCAGGGAGCTCTGGTGGCCTCGTGGCAAGAAGCTGCACTGCAATCCCAAAGGCTCATGGTTCAAATCCACCAGAAGCTCGGCCGGAGGAGGAGGGACAATCTCCTCCTGTGCCAATCGGATTCGATTAGACGGTACATACAAAAAAAAAAAAAAAAGTCGTGTCGCCTCCAGAAGTATAAATACATACCTGTGAATCCTGAAAACTACCCACTCCTGCACCAAGCCCGTAAAAATGGTAAATGCTTAAAATCGTTAACACATTGCGATATTTTTAAGCATTTCAAGATGTCCCTAATATGGAAGGTACCTGACTGAAACATAGTTTCTGCTGCTGCCTCACCAATATCAATGCTTATTCATCTTGAAAATGGAGAGAGTGGTAGCCATTTAGAGATTGTCTCATGCATTCATCACCTTTACTATGCCCCTGATTGGCAGGGCCACCTCTGAGACAGAAAAGAAGCCACATACATGTGCTGATGTCAGCCATTTCCAGACAAGGTATGTGTATGCCTATTGCCTGGAGCAGGGCCTGGGCTCGTGACACAGAAGCAGAAACACCTGACGGGCTGCCTCAGTCATGTCATTGGTGCCTTGAAATTCCACTCTTCAACTGGTCTCCCCCACCCGTTAGACTTGCACCTAAAACATAAATCCCCCTCTTTCCTTCCTTCCCTTCCTTCCTTCCTTCCTTCCTTCCTTCCTTCCTTCCTTCCTTCTTTCCTTCCTTCCTTCCTTCCTTCCCTCCCTCTAGATACTTACTGTGTTTAAGGAAGAAGGTTAGGCCACACTAGGTTAATAGGAACTGCTCAGTCACAGTCCTCTAACTCAAGTGACACCCAGCATGTGTACCATCCTGCCATATCTTAGATCCACTTCCTGAGCAAATCCTCAATGACACCATTAGCGGGCCTGGACTGGAAGGCACTGGGGCATGTTGATGGGAGACAGTCACAGTGAGCAGGAAGAAGGATGTCCAGCCATCTCAGGACATCCCTAGAAAGTTCTAGAATGTTTTAGATCCAAGAATACAAATAATGCATTTCTTTCTCAACCATCTATAGAACTTTATTTCCTGGGAGGTGGGGGGGGGGGCACGAGGAGGCAAGACAGCAATGATAGATGTATTGGAAAGTTATATCCCCAAAGGACCAGACCTCTCTCCCCTAAAAGCAGATATGGAGGGAAGGCCAGGCCATATGCCATATGGCCTGTTGTTCTCAGGTGTGTCAAGTTTGATACAATCTATAGTGACCCCATACACAGCACATCTCTGTCCTGCCCTGTCCTGTGACACCCTCACAATCTCTGACAAATACTTGAGCCCATTGTTAGAGTGACTGTGTCAACCATCTTCCCATCTTGTTGAGAATCTTTTTCTCTTTTACAAACTCTCTACCTTTCCAAGTATGATGTCTTTTCTAAAGACTTGTCTCTCATGACAACATGTCCAAAATACAGTTCACGGAATATTCAGTATTCTCCAACACCAAGACTCATGGATTCTTCTATCATCCTTATTCATTGTCCAACTTTCAGGTGCATTGCAAGTAATAGAAAAGACCATGGATTGGATCAAGTGCATCTTATCTTAAAATGGGTATCACTGCTCCTTTGAACTTTAGAGAGATCCTTAGATTTTACAAATGTAATGCATCTTTTGATTTCTTGACTTCTGGAACCAAGGGTATTATTGACTGTGGACCTGAGTAAGATGAAATCTTTGACAACTTTCATCCTTTCTCCGTCTATCATGATGTTATTTGTTAGCCCATGGGTGAAGATTTTTGTTTCTTTGATGTTGAGATGTAATTCATATTGAAGCCTTTGATCTTCTGCATTAATAATCTGATTATCATACCTATTTTGGAAAATATTTTGCAACATAGAAGGTTTAAATAAAAGGCCATTGGATCACTTTTCATTTCACCACTCAGAGGCTAGCCTCACAGACTTATTTTCTGTGAAGGCTGATCTTCATAGGCCACAAAGACAACATTCTACTTGGGTGAGTAGCAGCTGGGATCTTACATTTACAAACAGCCACCTAAGATGCAACTAGTGTTCTCTCTTTCTTTTTCTCCAGAACAAGTGAAACAAGTGGTGAAAAATCAAAGACTCAGAGTGGTAAGTACTGCAAAGGATGAACAGACCGAAAGAACCACTACTTCTGAAAACTTGAAATCAGAAGAGCCAGATCATGCCTGGTTCCCACAACCAACCACTCTAAAATAAATCACAATAGAAAGTTCTAGATGAAGTAGGAGAAAACTATGGAGTGAAATTAAAAATAATAAAATAAATCAATAGCTGTTTTTTTAAAAAAAAGTAAGGATGTTGGCGTGCCATCTCTTATGTTTTGAATATATTGTCAGGAAGAAGCAAGTGAAGCATCTTGGGGAAGAAGGTAGAACCCAATGAGAGGGTTCAGGAGATTGGTACAGCTGCTCCTATGGTGGGACTCTGGCACAGTGGATATTGTGAGAATGGTGCAAGACGAGGTGTGGTTTCATTCTCTTTCCCTTGGAGATGCTATGGGTCAAACAACAATAAAGCATGTTTGCCTTGGATATTGTTTTCTTTTAAAGCATTATCGAATATATATATATATATATATATATATAGAGAGAGAGAGAGAGAGAGAGAGAGAGAGAACATCTTTTTAAATAAATAAATACAATACAATTTCACAAGTAAAAATAAATAAACCAGACTTGCTGCTTTGATATAGACTGGTAGAACTAACTCTAAGAGTATGGCCCTTAGACACCCTTCAAATGCCTGGACCTGAACTTGCTCCTGGGAATCAACTTTCAGTGACACAGTGGACAGACTGATAAAGGAGCAATAGCACCCATGAGGAACAAGCTTTTCAGAACAATTAACAAAAGACCCAACCCTCATTCCCATCAAGTTGGATCTGACTCCTAGTGAGACTGCCTGCCTTTGGGTTGGCAGCACAACTCGTTACCCACTAAACCACCAGAGCAGATAGTAATGGAAAGGAAAGATGGGTGAAAGGCTATGGGGAACCCAGTGAAGATACAGAAGAGTGTTGTTACATTGGATGGATTGTAGCTAATGTGAAACAAAATGTATCTAAATTGTTCAGGGTGAAATTTACTCTGCAAAGTTTCACCCACACTACAAATAAAATGTTCACAAAAATACCTTTTTTTTTTTAATTTGGTGGTTGATGAGAATATACAGAGCAAAGGATACACCAATGTAACTATTTCTAAATGTATAATTCATGACACTGGTTACATTCCTCTCTCTTACCAGCATTCCCACCCTGCTTCTCTGAGTCATTCCTCCCCTTCCACATAATCCCACAGCCTCCCAAGGTTCCCATCTAATTGAACTAGCTGCTGTTGTTAATTTGATCCCACATAGATAACTCTTAAAAGAAGATAATACTCAAGGCTGATCTTTTTCAGTAGTTAATCTAAACAACCAATTGATTTGTAAGGAAGATTTCAGGGAAATAGTTTTGGTTAAGATTTAAAGATTACCTCAAAGCAATAGTTTCAAGGATTCATCCAGTTTAAGGGATAGAGTCAATGACATTTTAAAATTCTATTCTGCATGTTCTCTCTTTTGAACAGGATTCTTCTATAGAATATGTGTTCAAAATACTCAGTAAGGATTGCTGGGCACCTTTCATTCAGTTCATATGGTCTCCTGGCAGGGAAGACAATTAACCACACATTCTGTATCCTCTGCCTCTTCCTGATTTCTTTCTTCCATATTTGTTCCCATTCCTGAAAAAAGTAATCCAACAGAATGTGAAAATTATCTAGCAATAATACCACATACAAGTAAAAACTTGC